ATATACACATACATACATATACACATACATACATATACACATACATATACATACATATACACATACATATACATACATATACATATATACATACACACATATATACATACACACATATATACACATATATACACATATATACACACATATATATACACATATACACACATATATATGAATGATAAGGTAGTACTCAGTAATATTTATCTTATACATTAATCAAGTGTGGAATCATCTTTAATTCCCTTAACAGAAATGTACACTGCTGCATTACATGTAAAGAGAACAGCAGGACAGCTGCATTACAACACACACCTCTTCATTGGGTTATGGCAGCGACTGATATGGTGTCACACATCATGCTAAATCATCACCACCACGAGCCCACACCGGGCTACATATGCAGGGTAATAATAAACTCCTGGCCGTTAAAGTCGGGCTATCTATCGCAGCACCGGACTCCTCCGGTTTGACTGATCCTCCGGGAAGTGAGGGGAAGGAAACCGGGCCGATCTCATGTCAACAAAGCGGATGTATGCGCTGCTAGCATGCTTTGTTAGCCCGGGCAGGGATAGCCGGGGCTGGGCTGAGGGCTGGATTCAAACAGGGTGTGGAGTGGTGGATCAGGGTTGTGCAGCAGGTTCTGCACATTAAACCACTACCCTAAACACACACTAACACACACACACACACATATATCGTAATATGAGGGATTATCAGGTAGCTGAGAAGTGTCATGTCAGGATGAGGATCCATTAGCAGTCTGTGTATTCCTGTCATTGAACGATCCGCTGCTCCTAAACCTACCGGTGATATTACGCACCACAACACATGACAATATTGCTCCGGGGGCCCTGCTTTATTTTTGGGCCGCTATGTGTGCACACCAACCAGAAGGCGGGTTTAAGCCAACTTAAAAAAGGGGGATTTACGCCATGTCCAGAGAGCTAACATGACAGGAGAGACAACCCGGGGAAGACGGAGCTGGATGGGTGCAAAGCAAGAAACACGCGACGAGGAGGAGGACCAGGCCGGAATGCAGCTTTCTGTCTGCAGCGGTGTTTGTCCTTTCATAATAATATTATATATAGATATATATCATGCAGATCATTGCACAGATTTACCTGTAGGCGCGCTCTCCTCGCACTGTATTTTTCCTGTAAGGAATGATGTTGGTTCCGTTGTCCGGGACGATGTCGTTGTTATTCTCTCCATTTGGGGAAAGGGCTTGGGTGGGACCGGGCATTTGGGTGTCTCTAAAAAATGTTGAACAGATACTCTGTTCTCGCTCTGGCCAGGAAACAAAAAAAAAAAAAAAGGACCAACAACAGGAACGATGCAAAATGCTAAAAGAGAGAGAGCCGCGCCTCCGGGTCTCGTTCCTTCTGCCTGCTTATTCTCCACAAACCTAAAGCCCCGATGACGTAGCTGCAACCCTGTACCACGTGACTGACGGGGTGGGCTATTTCAGCACACACCAAAATGTACATCGATCACCCGCGTGCAATGATCAATGCATGTGGCTTTTTGAAGATGCAGATCATCAAAACGATCGAGAGATGAGATTCAATCAACTGGGAAGAATGAGTGTGATTATTGCAGCCCGCCATGTTTCACCTTCACCTCGTCACGTGACTATTGCAAACGCACCCAAACAGATGTTTTTATCCTAATAGATCAAAGTGGTGCTGATGAAATGATGACGCAACACATGGTGTGAGGAGGTGTGGTAAAAATGTTTGGATTACCAATAATGTTTGAGATATATATCTATATATCTCTATATAGATAGATAGATAGATAGATAGATAGATACACACTGCTAAAAATGTTGATGGGTCGATTAAGAAATCAGTCATTTATATTGTTTTGAATATTGTTTTTTTTTAATGAGATATAACTGGATTCGGGACAGATGGTCAAACGAAGACTAAGGGACGTGTGAGGGGCATTTTAATAATAAAAGAATAAGAAGTAGATCGATCGATAATGAAAATAGTCCTTATTAATCCTGATTATCATCATCTTTAAACATCCAGTGTAACAATACGCTTTATGGTTCATGCAAAGATCTAAATTCAATACATGTTGTCAAAATACACCGTTTCATTCAAGTTGTGTGCTACATTTAAAAAAAGTACTACGACCTACTTTTGCGTATTTAAAAATGAAAACGTGATGATTACACCCCTACCATTCAAATATCTGAACATGGTTAGTAATCAGTGATAAGAAGCGACTGTATGTGGACGAGCAGGTTAACGGGCATGATGGAAAAACTGATCATGTGACACAGCTCCATCACAGCAGCACTGAGCCAATACAGCCGCAGGAATATTATGCATGAAGAAGAACTACGTCCAGCCAATCACACGGTCTTTATGATACTGTAACTTTGTTTTACTGCCTTGATTTTTTTCCTACGTGTTTTATTGCGTTATCTGAAAGGTCACATTACCATTAATAAAGTCCTTTACAATTTTATATAAAATTTAAAACACAGACGTTGAAACCAATACAAACGATCGATCTTACACAATCATCAGTCCAAAAGTGAACTCACAGTTTTGGCCAGTAATGATTGAAACTTTTTATTTTAAATGTGTGAGGTTTGTCCTCTGAGTTTCTTGCATCTGGTAACAAGGCAAAATGTTTTGTTGTACATATATTTTTTGCTTCTTCTGGTAGAAATCATCGAAGCCCTGCCTCAGTGGAAAGGAAGCATCTTTAAAAAGCCTGTAAAAGGACTCAACAACAAAGGTTTGATTCTACGGTGGACACTTCCACCCCCAACTGCAGTGCCAGCAGCTACATTGTCTGTCAAAACGGTGAATAATATTTCAAACTGCTTTTGAAATTGGGTGAGGGATGTTTAATGCAACACTGGGTGAATGTGCTCACTCAAAACAGCTCCTCTGGTGCCACCATCAGGCCAGCTGAGGTCACTTTTAAACCTACAAATCATGAACTTTTACACAGAACCGACCGACTCTTGATCTCAGATAAATCTGACAAAATAAAGACAAACGTCCAACAAATAAAGTCTGAATAATGTTACCCAACAATATTGAGACCCGTGTCTTATTTTACCAGTCAAACCAATTTGCACGTCACCTACTTCAACAGGATTTTCAATCTTCTTACTTCAGCGGCAGCTTTGTGAAGTAACTTTGAGGACGTTTCAACACATATTTCAAATTCCAACAATGTTTTTCTGTGAAATTGTGGCCGTAATTTACATCATCGCTCTCAGCTTCAAGTAATCACACCGGAGCTTTTAAAAGTCACATGTGGGCAAAGAGGATGCATGTGCCACGGATTGCCTCTTTGACTGTTACTGCAATAATTCACCTTTGTACTAACATGTGCATTCAAGCTAAATCAAGGCAGTGGTAGAAATGCAGGATACCCATCTCTGGAGTAGTTATTCTGGAAGGATAAATATTCAGGATCCCCTGCTTTTAGTGGGTCTTTACTTTACTCTTTACATAAACTATTACAGAACCAAACACAAGACACAACCAAGTGCTAATCTCATGAAATGACCAAACTGTGGACACTAGAAATGCCTCCACGAAGAACCAAAAGCATGCAGAGTTACACATTTCTGATACAGTAACGCTGAACGGCTCTTTGGGACTGGAAGTGACAACTGCAGCGCATCGGTCTCATTACAAATCACAGAACAGTGAGCACAGAGGTCCGCTTACTGTCGTCAAACAGCAGAAGACGAATGAAACGCAGCAACTTGTCACAGCTAAGGTTTGGGTGGCAAAGCTATCGCAAGGCTGTCATTGAAGTAAATGTGACACTTGCCAGTCTGACAGGTCTTTAGGTGTCACCAATAGGTGTCACCACAGAGGTGAAGCATGCGTGTGCTGTTTAAAATAAACATTGAGACTGTGAAGCCCAATTAAATATGTAAATATTGGACCATAACGTGAGAGATGCATCCCCTCTGGGCCTGTTTTTGATTACGCCTTCACCTGCAGAGGGGTTGTCCTCCTTGGTGCTCTTAACAACAACAAAAGATAAACAAAAAAGATATATCTGTCAGATATAAAGTACTTGTCTGCTAATGTACTCCCGGCCTTTCAGACTCGTGGTGCTAGTGAGGTGATGAATACGATCCAAGTCCAGTTTGGGTTATAGAGTCGTGAATGTAAAAGGTCTATTTAATACCAAAACACTACGAGGAAGGATTTTACAACGGTGGAAAACTAATCTACCAGGAATGTGCGCTTCGACATATTTAACTGGCCCACACAGTTGCATTGCCAGGCAACATTGCAGCAAGTTTCCACCTTTTTTGCCCGACAACCAAGCGTCGGAAATGAATTAGGGTGCTGCGTTTTATTCACGCTGCGATCACGTCCGTGTGAACATGGCCTCAAATGTCTCAAGACTGTTGAACTGAAACTTCAGCTGTAGACACACCACAAATGCCCAATGTTGTTCGAGTCGATTGAGGGTGTTGAAGTGTGTTTCTGTGGCAATGACAGAATCATGAGGGTAAAAGACTAGAAACACAGACTAGAAATAATCCAGCTATAACATCTGCTTTGTTTTGCTTGCATGTACACGTGGCTTGCTTTTCAGTCTCTGTTACTGCTGTATGTTAGGAGACAATAAATCATTGGGCCGATGTGCATAAACTCATTCCACTGGAGGAAAAGCAGAGCTGTGGTCGCTCTCTACATTCATATCTCCACAGTGTGTGTGTGTGTGTGTGTGTGTGTGTGTGTGTGTGTGTGTGTGAGAGGGATGGAGAGGCTCCACCCATCAGACCCAACCCTCAACATTCAAATAATAGCAAGGAGGACATTGTTATATCCTGACTTGCGGGTTGAGCAGGTTAATGTGCGATAGGTATCTAAAGAGTACTATCAAAGGGTGCAGATTATTCTTAACAAAGAGATGAGGTTTACAGAGTCAGACTTGTGTGTCCAAACATTTTTAGGGGAACCACATACCTAACCACAAAAATGTGGACAAGGAGAGTGAGGACCAGAGAAGGAGAGAGCACTGATCTTTGATCATTGGTATCCTTTTAACCATTCAATTAAATACAACATGTGTGGAAGGAAAAGTTTGATTTTGTCAATGGAAAAAAGGGCTAATTTTGCACTCCAGACAAAAGACCAAGGAGGTCCATGCATGGTCTTCCCCCTCTTCTTCTTCTTCTTCTCTGTCCCCTGTGCGCACCAACACTCAGAAACAGCTTAAAGTGAGGGAAACATGGGACATATATGCTAATTTCTGAGGTTTCAAAGCAACTAGCTACGTAACGAGGCAGCTAAGTTAGCTGCAGCCGGTGAATGAAGCTAACTCAACACTTCAGAATAGTGACAGCAGACATATGACGTTAACGTCAGCGTACAAACCACCGACACACACGTAAACACGCTCCGGTTTTAAACATTTAAACGCCATTATTGGACGACTCAAATCAAAATAATTTGGAATTGTTCGGCAAAAGCAAAATTAGACTCACCAGTTAGCTTAACTCCGTTCCGCAGGTTTTCAAAAGGTGTTTAAAATGCTCCTTTTTCCGGCTGAGTCACCCCACCCTCTCAAACGCCCATTCTCACGAGGCGATGAGCTGAAAGGGGGCTGTTGATTGGACAACGCGTCATCGGTGTCGCAGCTGATTGGTCCGCTAGAGACCTCTGTCGTAAGTTTGACCAATCACGTCTTGATGCGTTGATCATTCGGAACGTCCAACAGCTTTCCGTCCTGTCGCTTCGTGTCACGTCACTTTCCCCACGGAAACGCAAATATTTTTAAAACGACAAATATTCATTGAACACAAGGTTGAAATGTTGATTCAATCCATCATTGTTTTAAAATGTAAAATGATTTTCTTTTCAAATAAAATGAGAATATATATATAATTTAAAAAACACTTTTATGCTTATAAGTAAAATATATTAGAGAATTGAGTGAGTCGATTTATTGTTACAGTGAAGACAACAAATTGAAGATTTACTTTAAAAGAATGCCTCATTCCTTCATTTGTCATCCAAATATAATTCCAGGCAAAGAGCACATTTTCCACAGAGGGGAATACAGTGCTTAAAGTTTGCATCTGTGATTAAATAAACCTGATGTTCAGCCTCTGACACAACTGCATTCCTCATGTTTTAACACCAGGGTGCAGTCACACACTTGATAAAAGACTTAAGCTATCAGGAGGAGGGCGGCTTCCTTTAAAATTAATCTCTCTTATAGCTGCTTTGCTGATAGAGTAGACACAACATAGACCAGATAAAGAAAGCAAATATTGTACCAAGAGGTCATTAAATTGTGTAAAGACCTGTTGATAGATTTTATATTTATCTTATGAATACGGTCTGTGGAAAGAACGGGCTTGTGTTGATGTCTTTAAAAAAATATATACTGATAAGAACAATAATAATGAAGACTAATATCAGTTCATTCATATGCTGATAATTCTGCCTGAGAGCAAAATTCTCCCTCCTAATATCCATAAGACTGTGAGATTCAGCGCTGGATGGCTGCTTTTATGTTACCTCAGATGGTGGGACTATGTGATGAATTATAGACAATGGGTTGAGGGCAGCCAACAGTGCATTTATGACAGATAATAAATGTGCACTGCCAAACCAAGCCAATTGAAGTGTGCCGGTCTGGAATGGAAAAAGACAGAAGGAGTTCACAGACAAAAATTGTGATATTGTGTCAACACTTTATTATTATGCATCACCACCATGCAAAATCACTGCTATGAACTTGCTCAGAAATCAAACTAGATATATTTCACACATTAATGATTTTAGATTGGCTTGCCACTTTTCCCAAAGTGACTGAGTAAAGTTTCATGCACACTCAGGAAATACTTCAGGAGTGTGCATGTTTGGTGCGAGTTGTACACAGAGATTTGTGTGCGAGAACAGCGATGCCAGCAAATGAAACGATGGCACACGATCGAACCTTAATTCATAAAACATTGATAGTAAACACAATTTCTTCAACACCCTCACCAGTGTAAACCATTTGGAAGTCTCTGTGTTACATATTTTCACTGTAACACTTCCAGATATCAGAACCAATCCATCTGTAACTTAACTGACAATATATACTGTATATGTAGACATTGTACATGTTTGCAGACAAAACCACTTCCCAGCATGAGATTTAATGAATTTAACCTAATTTGTCCAGTGAAGACAACGAGCGTTGCTGCTGAACAGGCGTGTTTAGTTGTTGGCTACATGCTGCATTTGACAGTTTGAATGAGCTCCATTGAGAGGTCATCCAATCAGCTAAGGCATGTGTGCATTATTATCACTAAGGTATCAAATAAAACAAGCACATTTGATCGGCCCGCTCCAAAAACAAGTCAAAAAACAACACAAAAGCCACTCGACAGCAACTGTAAGAAATCTATGGACCAATGGTTAAATCTGGAGTTATACATTTATTAAATATTGCAAAATGTATCGTCTATAACTTCAACTCCAACGCAGGTTTATATTTGAAATCAGAAGACAAACAAACACTTAAAACCTGGTTCACTGTTTGCAGGAACATGAACATTTGAAAGAATCAGATTTGAACTAACCGTGTAGTTGTACATTTGCTCGACAACTCATATAAAAAGGTTAAAAATTAAGAAATAATTCCCCGAAGTCACGTGGTTTTTTATGGCACCTGTGGTGTAATAGACAGCTCACTAATTAATCTCTTCACATCAGCTCACAGTATTACCTTAAATATGTGGTTGGTTAAAAAATATATCTTTACATAAATGTATTCCATGGTTGGATTCAGCCATTTATTCAACTTAAATTCTTCACGTCTTCAGTGCTCTGTACCGTCGGCCCAGTGTGGCCTCGTCCAGTGTCTCCTACTATTGTTGCTTTTCATATTGCTCATCTGTTAAGGACACAGAACGTGTTACTTACAGCACAATACAAGTACAAAAAAAATGATGACCTACATGCTAGAATAAAAGTAAAAGTCTGACCCCGGTAACATGGAAGATGCATTTTATTGTAGTTTCAGGCACTTACCAGTCACCTGGACAAACAGTCACTGCTGCAGCGTCACCTGCACCACACCACCAAAAACACACGCAGCGAGTTAGAATAAGTATTGAAACAAAAAAACAAAAACACACCCCCAATACACCACCTGTCTCCTTCCATTTACAGTCCTGCACAGCTACAACCCACCATGCACGCTTTGTCTGGTTCCTGCCTTTGCTTTATTAGCTCCTCCAGCTTGAGCTGGTCCTCCAGCTGCTGCTCCAGATCGTTCTCGAAGCTCTCCGCAGCGCTGGCACTCCTGTGACAGACAACAGGCAGTTTAAAACAAGTCACATGATCGGCGGTGTACCTGAAGACTGGAAGTTTTCCACACACAACAAATGAAACAATTCAACTCTACAGGGAAAGCTGGGGAAGCAGCATGCTGTGTCAAAGCAGTTTCTCGGGATAAGCAGGTTAAGAATACACTGATTATTACTTATGATTTATTGTTGATGACACATCCTACTGTAGTACCTTGGTTTATATGTGAAGAGGGGATCTGAAGAGGTTGTGGCCAACAGGTCAGCACGTCCAAAATCTGAATCCGCGGTGCTCTCGGTCTCACTTCCACCCTCTATGAGAAAAATACACTTTAAAAACAGCTGTTGCATAAAAAATTCAGAAAGCAAAATTCATTCTTTTCTTCATTCATTTCTACCTGAATTGAGTTCTTTAACCAGCGATGACATCGTGTTGGTGATGGAGTCAGCAGCAATGAGGAGGTCAGTTCTCAAATTTCTCCTTGGACCTTTGAAACACAAAAGGTATTTAGAAATTAGAACCATACTCCCATACGTCCACAACAAATGCATGCCTTTCTGTGTGTTACCCTGAGCGAAGGCCTCCTGAACATCCCCTCCCAGGCCCATGAGTGAGTCTTGAGGTGTGTGAGTCGGGGTCGTGCCGGCAGAGTCCGAGTGGATAGGTGTGGGGATCTGCCGGCTGATGGTGTGGCTGGGGGAAGAGCGCGGAGAGCTGGGGCCCTGAGTCTGCAACACAGACACCGTTTTTAGTGTTTACTTGTGCCACTGTCTCGGCATTCTTAACAGAGAAACAGAAAGAAACTGTAAGAAGAACAAAACATAATCTGGATCAAAAGGTTTTTTTATCAAAGCAAACCTTCCACGAGCAATGCAACAAATAACTTTGCGCTCAAATCACAGCAAAGAATATCAAACGCCAAAAAACAGCTACAATCTATTCAGTTCAATAGTTTTATTTCAGTCAATAGAGAAGCTAATTTGTCTTAATTGTACACCACAGTAGCTTTATAAGTACTATAAGAAACATCACACATGCTAGAAATGTACAATATGTGGAGTCATTAAGCTGCATTTTTCATTATGTCTGGATTTGTCTGAACCTCAACATGCTGTCAAAGCAGATTTTCTCTCTGAAAGCGATCCCACCTATTCCCACAGACCAGACTACACGCTGGTGATGTCTGGTGAACACCATGCATCTCCAAAATTCAGACACAAAGTTTTCACCCAACAACAGCAGTTAGTATTTACTTCAAACATGCAATCATTTTGAATCCAAGTGTAGTTTCAGCCTCGTTTTTGCTCCACAGTTCTCACACTCACAGCTTGTTTCTGTTCCTCCTCCAGCTGCAAAACAATATTTTATGGCTCGTGAAACAACAACTACATCACATTGAGTATTTCTAAAAGAAAATCCAATCAGTAATTCCTCCAGGACGTGACAAGCATGTGGCTTCCGCATGCAAGTTTAATGGATTAACATTGATCCTTTTAGCCTAATTAGATTGATATCCTCCCCACTTAAGCCAGTATAGCGAGCAGTTTATGTCAGCGTTCAGGACCTCCCGTCGTGTTGGCTGCGGAAGATATTCTCGCTCCAAAAGTTATCCTCCTTGTAAGGTGCGATGGAGCATAATCCCAAATTCAACACCCTGTTCTTAAACCATTTCTCTGGACTCTTGGATAACATAAGCTAATAAGAGGCAAAGGGACATCATTTAAACAAATGTACGAGACAGAGGGCAAATGTTCAATCAACAACATTTGTAACAAGACCAAAACACAATATTGGTCGTCTGGACACCAACTAGATTAAACATGTTCCTGATATGATTTCATTTTAGGTGGAGAAACACCCCAAAGCAGACATCATATCTTTAGCTCAAATCTCAAATATGTGAATGCTGTACCTCTTATTTGTACAGTCAATAACTGACATAATAGGTCTCCTATTAAAGATGTAGGCCCTCTATTGGATATGTTGGGTAACATGTTTCCTCATCTGAAAAGTGCAGCGTTTGCTTTACATTAGCTGGAGTGAGCACCTACATCTGGGAGAAAATGTAGTACAAGTGAACGTCGTCATCTGGCCATATTGCTTACCACCTGCCTCCAAATAAAAAACAGAAAACACAAGATACGGTACACGTGTCCATGTATATACGAACAAGCAAACTTCAACAGAGCTGATTCTGGCCAAAAGGCAAACTTGAAACTAAATTACCACGACCTTATTGCTCCCCACAGCAAACAGAATGTGTGTTTGTTCAGCGATCATGAAGGCGTCTTGTCTGTGTTCCGTATTTGAGTGCTGTGAAGTCAAAGAGATGAAAAGCACGTCTGTTAATACCTTGAGAAGCATCATTAGTTGCTCCAGCTGCACCATGAGTTCCCTACGACTCTCCTGCAGAGTAGACATTCTTTGTTCAAGCTCATCTTTGCGTTGCCTAACGGAGGAAACAAGTTGTACATGGTGATGATACAATAATGTCACGTCTAAAAAAACAAATGCGTATGAGCATCTGTAGACTCCAACATATGGTGTTTATTTGTCTAGGAAATAGGCAATTACAATAAGCACGTTCTGCTGCAGCCTGTTCTAAACGCACAGCATTGTGCAGGACTGAACGGACTTACCTGAGAAGTCGAAGCTCAGCCAGAAGAGTGGGGTTCTGCTGACCCCTGTCAGGTGGCGGCTGGGAGGCCTCCTCGTGCTGAACACGCAGACGCTGGATTTCCTGCAGGATTTCTCTGTGAGAGGCACAAACCAGGTTGTATAAGTCAGACATGGTTTGTCCGTAAGACCCCGGGTCAACACAAATAAATGGAAGCTGCATTTTGCAACTGATGATCTTACTGTGGACACCGTCCATGTCTGACCATGTTGAAATCAAAACTTAAACCTGCAATAACTGGGGTATTTTTTGGCCACTTGGGGGCGCCTGAAACAAGCTGTGGACATTTTATTACCTTGGTTATAGCAGATATTAGTTTGTATCCCCCCGATGAGGTCCAATATCCACTCGCTTTCAGCTGTGTTAGGACTCCATGAACTCCTGAGGGAAATATCTGGCTTTTTAGCTTCTAAATACTCCACTATGTTCACCAGCTCGTCGCTAACTTTCTCCGTCTGCCGTTTGGGGCTCAGCAGGTAGTGTACAGTAGGTTTTTAGTGCTTCGTTTTCCTGCAACACTATGAGAGTGATGACAGTGAAGTAAAACAATAAAGGTGTTGTCAGGAAAATCAAAACAATGAAGCGAAAGACACTTAAAGGAGCAGTGTGAAGGATTTAGTGGCATTTTGGGGTTAAGTTTTGTCCATTTCTGCCAATAAATCCCCCTAAATCCCACTGTTCCTTTAAGATTTTTTCACAACAGATATTTTGCATGCAGGAACAGCACAAATGTTACTGACAACATAAACCACAGCTCTGTTCTATTCAAGCCATGGCAGTGTGACCGTGAGCCAATAAAGCTCTGTAGAGCTGAGGGTAACTGCTGAGTCGGGTGATAATTCTCTGCAGGTTCCTCAGCACATGTGACCGCCGTCATATATAAATAGTCATGTGATCCATTGTTTGTATTAAATAAAAGTATTAATTATAGCTGCAGCCTATGCACTTGTTCACTGTTGCCTGTAATTGAACTTTTGTCTCCACTTTGGTATCATTATTCACTATTACTTACTGCTGTCATTTTAATGTTAAACTTGCTGTTACTTCTAATGATAACTCTTATTAACTGCTTTTCTTTTTTATTAATTTTAAGAAATTTAATTTTGAATTTGCCACTGTGCATGAAATATGCTATATAAATAAATTGCCTATAATTGCCTTGCATGATCCAGCATTCATTGAATTATATTCTACACTGTATACATACAGTTAGTTACTTGCTGAGGGGCTAAGGGGAAATATCATACCTACATTTCTAATAATAATTACAGTTTTCAGTAACGTATGTGCTTTGAGGTCTGTTTCTTTTGTCAGACCAGGATTCTGTTTATTCTCCAGGTGAATCTCTTGTTGTGGGATGGAAAAAAAAAAAAAGAAGAGAGGAGACAAACAGCAGAGGACTGAAAAGCATCACCAAAGCAGTCATCCCTGACCTGTTTTTGCTCTCGAGCTCGGCGATGAGTTGCCTCTGCTGTTTGTTGGCATCCAGAGAGAAGGGGAGGTCCGTGGGGATCCGCTGCTGCTGAGCCTGTTGGTGAAATCAAGCAGGAGACATCACATGAACTGGCTTTACCAGCGGATGATGTCATCCATTACCTTATCTCATATCTCACAGGGAGGGGGTAATAAAACAGTCAAGTCACCGGCCATCTATCAAGACCTGATCAGAACATAAACGGGCATAGAAGTCTGGTTAGAAATGATCACCACCTGTAAACCCCTTCATCATCTTCACAATAAAAAGGAGTGAAATCCTCAAAGAGTAGAGGAGCAGCGTACGTTCAACCCTCAAGGACCCTCAAGGACAGTTTTTTAGCTGTGGACACAGATGAAAGATGCCACGATATTGTGAGCAATAAATATCTTATATATCTCACCGCGGCATCAGCAGCCAGTCTAGCAGCATAGCGGGCGATGAGGCTGTGCTCTTCGTCTTGATGATTACTCTCCAGCAAACTGATCAAGAGGAAAATGGAGTCACAACACGACATGGTTACGACACAGCTACGCAGATATAAGCAGTGCAGGGGGAAGAAAATGCAAAAATCCAAGAAAGTTTAGTTTCTTCAAAAGTCAGATTAGTTCTTTGGCAGACAAAGTTTTACAGCAGCATCCCGCATAATCATGCTAAGCTACTTATGTAAAACCACAAAAGCAGCAATGAAGTTGGGTTATTACATAAATGAGGAGCTGAAGTTATCGTTTGTGTCCAAAGAACAGAAAGGTTACTTATACAGTCAGATTACTGATAAAGTAAAAACAAATATGGTTGTGTGCATTTCCAAGCACACACACACACATTAAAAGCGCTCAAATGCACTCACACGGGAAGATACAGATAGCCAACATGATAGAATAAATGTGTTAAAATAAAAACTAAGTCAGCTTACAGTCTTGCTTTGTTTTTAACAAGATTTACTGGACCAAACTGATTTGAGAGATTAAAGCGGCAGTCAAATCTGAGGGAAACAGCAGCTAAAAGTGTTTAAAGTATTTGGTACCAATTAACAAACTAATCTGCCCTGAGCATTTGGAATTATACAATTTTAATGTGACAAATATGAGACTTTTGCCCTTTTTTCTTTTGCACATTTCAGTCAGAAACAACAATATGTACATTTCAGGACTGTGAGGAATGTAATATTATGTAGTCATGTTGTTATGTGTATACTTACAAGGTCTTATAAGGGTTAGAATATGAAAAAAATAAGTTTCACATTGAAATCCAATCAAATAAATACAGATCTCTTGGTCGAAATGAACTCCATTTGGATACAAAACAGTCAGACAAACACTTATTGCTGCTGAATAGCAATAATGCGTTGACAGGAGTGTCAAAGGTCGAGGTGACTGGTCTGTTAAAGTGACAGCATGCAGCGTTAGGGCTGTAACACACCCAGAATGAGGTTAGGTCAGGGGTAAGATTGCTAGGTGGCAGTCCAGCAGAGCATATGGTTTCCACTGCGACACACCAAACTAACCATGTTTTGGGGTTGTTTTGGAGGAGATTCACATAGAGGCCAATGAGAGTATGTTCGTCTGCAAGTCTATCGGCAACATCGAGGTTGTAGTTCAACCTGGAACGGCGCAGGGTTTCACAAAACATAAAACATGACATTACACAGGTGACAATAGAGGGGAAGGACGAGAGGGGGGAGGAAGCAGAGAGACGAAACGCAACAAAGGAGAAGAGGAGGAGAGGCTGAAAAGCAGCCAGTCACGGGTGACTAGAGGGAAACAAGGCCATGTTATGTTTGAGAGAGACTCCAGTGATGAAGGCTAGGAGCACGATTAAGGACATGCCGAGCAAAAAAAAAAAAAAACTCTACAAGCTCCATGTTTACATTCTCCAAGCATCAATCAGTCAATGCTCTATTATTAAAACTACTGAAAGTCATTATTTTTAAGTCAAACAATCTGCCACCCAGACATGTCAAGCGTGCTTTTTGATGTAGCCCCTATATTTATAGAGGCTTCCCATCTGCATGACAAACTCCTAAAGGAACCATCCCCACTGCCATTATGGAGGCGCAACGCAGAACTGTGACCATAAAATGTCTCATAACAGCAATTAATTAATTAACTATTTGCTTCTAATAATGACAATTCTGTGATAATTCTTCTAATAATGATGATAAATAATCTCCTAATCTCCAACTGCTGAAGGAAATATCTGTCTATTTAGCAGCAAACTGCTTTGCTATGTCAATCAGCTAACCTAGGGTGTTTGCTACAGGTATTTGCTGCGGGCCAGGTAGATGTTTATCAGAGTGTTTTGCTCAAATCAGCTGCTTGCTACAAGTAGGGAGAGCTACGTAAATAAGAACAACAACGTTGTGGGCCTTAAAAAACAAAACAATGAGCTAAAAGATGCTAAAATGCTCCACAGAGCTGAGGTGACCTGCAGATAATAATGTGTGGTTTTACCACTATGAGCGACCCCGACACAGTTAATCCATCGTCAATATAGAAATATTGGTCAGTGCAGCTTTATCAGGACAACTGCATTACAAACTAGATAGTGAGCTTATTGTGTTGCATTATTGGAAGTGTAAGCTCCAAGTTTTTGGAGCTTGACAAAGACAGTAGAAACTGAAAGTCTGAATATTTGGGCATCAATTTGTTTTTAAAATGTATCTCACAACATTATGGAAGTGCACTAAACCACTGCAGTGCCTCTTTAACGGCATATTCCAGCTGTCTAAAGTCAAAACTCTCATCATAAAGTTTGGGGATGTTATCAGGTATTCTCAGTCATTGTTGTGCTAAAGTTAGCCTGTCAAGCTTCAGTGGGCACATCAGCTGAAAGCCCTGCATTATACGGTGTCTGTGCAAAACAGTAACCACAATGTCAGGTGCTCTGATATGCACATCAAGAATAACCTAAAGAACGCTCACTCATCACATTTCTACGTTTTTCTATAAGCCTGAGCTATGAAAGGGACTAGTGTTCCCTAAAGAAACACTTTCTCCATCAAGTGCAGGTGCAGTGGAGCTCAGTGGCCTTTCACTGGAAAAATCCTGATAGAACAAAAATACAAAATTCAACATCAATAGCAACTGAAAACAACAAGATAATCCCATTTCATGTAAACAGGTATACTTAACATACCTGTGAATACTCCAGGGAATTTAAACGGCTTTACTGCTACAGCTTCAACATAGAGGAGATCGAGAGTAACATTTATGACGATTATATTCGAAACTAGCAGTTAGTATTTCCCATTTCTGTGTGTATGATAAAGATTGTAATAGACACTCCAAACTAATTGCCAGTGATCTTTATGGTGGATGCTTCATCCAGCATTTTTAAAATAGCCCCTCGATTACAACAATGTAAACCCCTCTGTAAGAAAACTGGTTCCTAAAGCACTCTTATTATTATCCATATTAGTCCACGCATGCATTTGTGCTACAAAGGCATTCTCATATGCACACCTGTGTCACTTACCCTCTCCCTCTAAACAGATGTGGAGCAGCCTGAGTCAAAGGCTGTCTTTGCTCAACATCGTTATTCTTGCTGTAAGGCAAGCTATTTACATTCAGCACAAAGAACCACAAAGAAAGAAAAAAGCACGATGATACACAAATGTTCTCACATGCACATACTTTGGAAAATAAAGGCAAGGAAAGAAAGACAGTGTGGGCTGCAGAGTCTACAGGGGACGGGCCTTCAGGGAGTGCAGCGACTGAAAAGATCTGCTTTGAAAATCCAGGACATCCATTGTTAGGACTGTACTCACTTTTTGGTGGAGTAAGGGTTCCCTGATGTAGGCATGGAGTGGGAGAGCGAGTAGTCATTGCTGATGTTCACTGGTCTTGGTGGCCTGAACAGGAAACAAATGTTTTTTTAATGTTAAAGTAACATAAACTTTCGTTTGTGTGTATTTGAATCGACCAAAATAGAAATTCAGATCCACATAAACTTTTGTTCGTTTGGATCTGAATTTCCATTTTGGTGGATGAACTTTCTGTGCATATATCAGGATGTCACAACAACGTCAGAGATGATTAGTTATGCAGGGTGTGTGGTAAACAATAAAAACATGCACTGAAGAGGGGAATGAATCCATGAGTCGACAAACACTGACTCCAAGTACTCTCGTGTGGACGGGATGTGATTAGCACAAAACAAAGGATTCAAATCTACAGTCACAGACACATTTTACGATGTGTTAAATATCCAAAACAAACTCACCACGTATCTCTGAGGAATGTACAGAACAAGGAAAGGAATGAAAATGGTTTATTACAATCAGCCAAGCAGTGCAAAGACTAGGCTACACTAAATGTAGAAATTCCAGTCATTTAGAAAAAAAAAAAGATTTTTCAATAAATTCACTGAAAAAGGAAAATATTAAATATTTAGGACAATATTACTGGTTTATGATCAGCATAAATGTCAGCCAATGAGGATCTTATTTTTAATATCTATATCTTGGATGCATTTAAAGGATCCGTATCAAAAAATTGATATTTTTATGTGTTAATGTGAAAAACTATATCCCCCAATTCATATCATAATCATTATTTTTTTTACTGAGGTACTGTGATGTTTTGTCTTCAAAAATCCAGACATTCAGTTGTACAAAACTGTAATAATCTTAATCCTTTTGGCTGTTTAAGGGTTATACTGTAAAATACTGGTGAAAGAATAAACACACAAACAGATGCTCCAGGTGTAGCCTTACTGTATGTAACTGTACCTTCCTTCAATAAACAGCACCAGATTGGTATTAAGCCAGTGCTTGTGGAGGCTGCTCCATTATTTATAACACAACACAAATAATCAGACAAGTGAAGGGAAAGGTAGGCAGTGTTGCAGATCACAATCATTCCCAGGGCTATAATTAAGCCCCATTGATCAGCTGACCCAAGAGATTGACTGGATTCACTTCAGACTTCCAGGCAGCAACAAGATAATTATCAGCTGAGGGATGAACTCAAACGTTTAGAAAAAGAAAGACGTTGAACTTACACAATATGAGCTAGGTTGAGAGGTTGGTCTGGCATTTCGGGAAACATGGGGTGAAGAGGCTCCCTGCTGGATGCACAGCTCAGTGACTTACTGAGGGCATGGGATAACTTCTTAGCAGGGGATTTCTGGGAGAAACACACAAGCGGCGTGCAAATTCTGAGACCGCGAGGACGCTCATTTATCTTCAAAACACATGACATCATCGCTGTCACCTGCGCCGAACACTCAAACGAACACAGCCACAGTGACTGGTGAAGCACAGACACACATCCCCTCAGCTCGCCCCCCTCTCTCTTCTCCTCCATCGTCTCCTTCCCTTACCCATGAGGTATACTCCTTCATTTGGTGCTGGTTGCTATGGGGACCACTGGCATGCCCCCTCCAGAAGCAGTCCTGACAGAGCTGGTAATTATGACATTGCTGGCAGCGGTAGCGGAAGCCCATCATACTCTCAATGTGGCAGTAGGAGCACTCGACCGGGTGAAAGACTGCGGGGAGGAGAGGAGGGGTCAGACACGCAGATGGACAAAACCCATGCACGCAAACAGATGTGATCGTAAAACTCAGATAGTTTTGCACAGTGCAAAGAGAGGAGGATTCATTTTCATTAATTTGAAAAGGACAGATGTGCTCTTCAGCCTGTTCTGGTGACATTTCATTTCAACCGAATACACAAAAATCGGTGCGACGGCAGCATGCTGTGTTTGTGTGTAAGCATGTGACTGTTTTTTCTGCTCACAAGGTGTTGATGATGTGTGCATGACAATTACTCACACACACATACACACACAAAACACACTCATGCACAGGGTGTAAGGTCTCTGTGGGTCATCCTCAATGGAGGTGTGTGTGTGTCTGTGTGTGTGGTGACTCAAGCTTATGATGCAAAGCTGAACTTTACATGCTCCAAGCCCCGCCAGCTTCCCCCATTTATAAATATTCTGTGCGGCGTCTTACCGTTCTCCACGTTGGTGAGCCGATGCATGAGCGGTAACCACACCAGACACTGAGGGGGCGGGTCTGACATCAACGTATCGAGGAATGTATTGAGGGAGACCTTTTTCTGTTGACGTTGGGTGCAGAGGAGAGTGAGATGATTGGACGTGGGGGAAACAAAAATCCTCCACGAGGTCAATGCTCAAACAATTAATGAACCCTCACCTGCTGTGCGAAGCACGTTCTTGCAGCTTGTTCGGTGTAGCCAAAAGAAGGTCCCTCAAAGACCGCCATGGGTAATTTGAGCACCTCCCTCAGAAATTGGTCAAACTGCGAGTGGACCATTATTCCAGCAGAATCGGATATCTGGGAAAAAATATCTGGGAACAACGCAGGCAGAGATTACACAAATGAATCAAACTAATTGCCACCACAGTCGGCTAATTACAGCATACACAATACAATTATCCCACTTATTTGTGAAAACAAATCATAGTAAAGCTGTTATTCAAATCAATTGTTATAATACACCAGCAACATAGCCCTCCTTCTTTTCCCTTCACGAGCCATTGCGACCGCTCCCACGGATTGTGTAGATTATGTAATAAACCCTATCCTTCAGATAACGAATAATGACTTCTTCCAGCCACGAAGAGCTCGGCCAGTGCTGCTTCTTCCTTTAGCAACAATAGGCTAAGCAGAGATATATAGCAAATACAGACATTAATAATGCTTGTATTAGGAATTCCAAAGCAGCACATGGACTAGAAACTGCATGAGGAAAATTTGCTGATTTATTACAGTTAAAATGGATGATTTTATTTTAATTTTTCACAATTAAAAGGAAAATAAGTACTTGTTGTGTTGCTTACATCTTAATTTATCCAGGATTTTCCCTCCACAGATGGTTGCCAGGGCCATCTTCACAACAAAGACAGACGTCTTGCCCTGGCTCTCCCTAAAAAAAAGGAGCAAATACATTTTAAATTATGGTCATAGATTATTTTAAAAGGCGCTGTCAATGTCTAGAATCTGAACTGTTTTTCTAAAAGGCACAACCTCTCGAGGCCCACTTGAGCAACGGCTTAAAAAATGTTTAGCTTAGCTTTTAGCATCTCTAAATATATACACTCTACACGAGCGTGTTGTGACATTGTGAAAGTCAATAGTCTGTATTTTCACCCCACTTTGGCAGACACTTCAGAGTCACATTTCACACCACGTTAGCTCACGTCAAAAACCTCAGACGAGAAAGTACACAACCAGCCGTCGACGCGTCACGTGACGTGTTACTCACGGGTCATAGGATGCCAGCAGGAAGTTGAGCAGCAGGCTGATGGACTGTTCCACGGTGATCTGGTGTGTGGTGGGCATGCGCTTGTTCAGCTGGTAAAAAATTGTGGACAGCACCACTTTTAGACGAGCCACAGAGAGGTCCTCGCTGAGGTCCATGGTGTTGATGCCGTTCTCTCGGAAAGCCTCGATGACATTCCAGATGTCAACCAAATGCACTGGAAACAGAAATACTGAGAGTATAAACATTTTGATGGGAAGGAATTATGAGCAGAGTGATGCGGTTGAAAGTGCAATGCATCATACTCACAATTGCATTTCTTCTGCACGAATCTGAGTTTGCAGGCTGTTCTGTATGTCGATAATCGTATGGAGTCCAGATCTTGAGCCCCTGAGGAATAATTACTCATTATCAAATAACATCGGGAACGTCAATGCTGGTTCGTAGATCATTTGGAGCGCTGGAGGGGAGAGCGTACGGAGGCCCAAAGCGTTCAATATCAAGTAAATAAATTACACTGTGAAATTAGTAATCATGTAAATAATGAACACATACAGATTATACTTTGGAAAAGGACATTTTGAAATACTGGAATCAAATAAGATACAATGAAGATGAATATATTAAAAAATAATAACAATGATATAGGATTATTTAACAATGTCATAGCGATATCATGTTTAGATTATATATTTTGGATATATGAAATATTCTGGTGATTTTTCACTTCATAATGTCCGATTTATTTATCCGATATTGAACAACGTGGGTTTAAAATCTATCGGGTTGAAACGAGTGGAGACACTTCGATCTATTTGCTTTACAAGAAAGTTACAGAGAGGAATATGCCATTTTTAAACAGTCGACAGACATAGATCATGCTGAGCTGTGGCCCTGAGCACTTACTCATCTCCACAAACAGTTGCCTTGTATCTGCCATGTTGTCACCGCTCCGCCCGAAGTCTTCAATCATTCTGGTCAAGAGGAGAGAAAGTGATGTCAGAGCCTGTGTGTCCACAAACACTTCCAATTAGGGCGCTGCTCAATCACTGCACATGCTCTTCCTATTGCTTTCAGCTTTATTCTGTATAATGAATCTATAAAACACTTACCACTTTGTAAACATAATTACATTATGCCCGTTGGACAACTTACAGCTACATCATTTCACTTTAAATGCCTCAGACCCTTCAAGGCACCCAAAGGCTCCAGACTTGGATATTCATAGGCATTTAGAAACAATAGGTCCATAATTTCAGATAGAGGCAGAATAAAAGCTTCTTCTCATTTTTGTTGGATGACAAGGAGAACCCTGTAAAAAAAAGGGGTCTTAAAACTTGAAATGTGCACTTGATTGCAACATAATAATTAATATTGTGCTGAGAGACTAAAGGCTAAAACTGCATGTCCCCGGGTAAAAAGTTAGCATCCTCACTAGCTGATGATCTGAAGATGTAGTAGGAGACATGAAAATAACAGTGGTGAGCTAGTTAGCCCTAGCATTATGTGTGTAACAGATACACATAACACTATCTCAGGTAATGTCGGCTGCAGTTGCTGGAGTGTTAAAGAGCAAGACAGAGTCATTCACGTCAGCCTGAAGTTAGCTGACATGCTAATGGACATGCTAACCATTGCAGTTACAGCAGATAAAGACTGTTTAATGCATTTTGCTCCTGTATTTTTGTGTTTTGGCTAAAAAATAAGGACACCACCCTTCAATAAAGAATGAAATAAAGGATGAAATGCTCTTACTGTGACCTACGCACATCACTTCACCTTGTGAAGAAATCCAAAGGTGGACAACCCTGCTGTGCTTAGTTTTGGTTGCTTAGCTATGGTTGGACAATCACTGGACTCAAATTCGCAATTTAGTTCATGGTTATTTGATTAATTGCACATTTGTTGCGGTGCATCTAAAGCTCAACATGAACTGAAATGATAGATTTTAACACCTGCATAATTACCTTACGGACCTGCCTCATACAAGGGCCCTCAATTCACATCTAGCTTGAAATATTAAGGCCTTGTGCATTTTAATGCTTAATTAAATTACAGAAGAATTATTATTAAATACTAATGGGGGGGGGGGGGGGCAACAGGGCCCCACAGCTCATTTTACCCTGAGGGCCCCATAGCAGTTTAATCCGGCCGTGCTAAACACACACTGACCTCAATTTTTCAGGTTGTAAAAGTAAAAGCAAAAGTAAAAGTACATGCGCGAATTGAACGTAGCACACTACAGTGCCTCTCAGAAATGTGATGGGGGGGGGGGGGGGGGGGGG